TTCTTATTCTCCCGTCTTCCACTGGCCTTACTCCTCCCTTACTATGTCCACAGCCTGACCAGTCGTAGCCACAGTTACAGCCAAACTCCCTATTGCCTACTCCTTCTCCTTATACTGAGCAGACAGACTCTCTTACAGAGCGTCGTGAGCCTGCGTCTCATCCTGCCTCACCTGTTCGCGCTGTTCGCAATGGTCACCGTGTTCCTCGTCCGCGTCCTCCTCCTGTCCTCGGCAGTCACACTATGACACTTCGTCCTTCCTCTGTTCCACAGCGTGTGCTTCTGCCGTCTCCTCCTGCGTCCTCTCTTGCTGACAGTTTGGACCCTGAGTCTGACTTACTTGGTGCTGCCAGCCCTACTGTCACATGCCTTCTAGCCACTATAGTCACTGACCCTTTGTTTGAGTCCACCTGCTGCATGCGCCCTAGGTGCTGAGCTTGTTGACTTTGCTGCTGCGTGTCGTCTCGACTACGCCACTAGTCTTGTTGCTGAGTCTGAGTGTGACTGTCCTCCGTTAGTTGGGGGTGAGTGTGCTCTTGGCACGGACGTCCTTGAGGACAGGCAGGAGGACTTTGAGTGTCTTGGAAATGCTGTACCTCATCTCGGGGCCATACTGCTTGCACCTGAGGGAGACTCGGATGCTTTAAACAACCCAACCCCGCGCTCTTACGCACAGGTGATTACGGGTACCTACTCCTCTCAGTGGCAGACAGTCATGGACGCAGAGATGGCATCCTGGAAGTCCACAGGCACTTACGTCGACGCAGTTCCCCCTCCTGGGGCGAACATGGTCGATGACATGTGGATTTTCGGGGTGAAGCGGCCGCCAGGTTCTCCGCCTGTCTTCAAGGCTCGTTCCGTTGCACGAGGCTTTAGTCAGCGACAGGGAGTTGACTTCTTCCAGACCTTCTCCTCTACCCCGAAGATGACCACTCTTCGGGTGCTGCTGCACATCGCTGCTCAGCGTGACTACGAGCTCCACTCCCTTGACTTCAGCACAGCGTTCTTGCAGGGCAGCCTGCACGAGGAGATCTGGTTGCGCCGTCCTCGTGGCTTCACTGGGTCGATTCCTGCACGTACCTAGTGGAGCCTCCGACAGCCAGTCTACGGTCTCCGCCAGGCGCCTCGTGAGTGGCATGACACACTAAGGATGACACTTGCGGCTCTTAAGTTTGCTCCTTCCTCTGCTGACCGTCGTTGTTCCTGCGCACCGACACTTCGCTGCCGCCCTCGTGTACGTCGACGACTTGGTTTTTGCCACTGCTGACACTGAGGCACTGACTCTAGTGAAGTCGGAGCTGCAGAAGAGACACACGTGCACAGACCTCAGTAAGCTGCACAGCTATCTTGGCTTGCAGATCACCCGGGACAGAGCATGGCGCACCATTACCTTGACCCAGTCACACATGTTGCAGCAGGTCCTTCAGCGCTTCGACTTCCAGTTCTCCTCGCCACAGGCCACTCCTCTGCCTACCGGTCACTCGCTCTCAGCTCTGCCTACGGATGAGTCCGTAGAGCCGATTGGCCCGTATCCAGAGCTTGTGGGCTGCCTCATGTACCTGATGACCTGCACTCGACCCGACCTTGCTTACCCTCTTAGCATCCTGGCACGCTACGTTGCGCCCGGGAGACACCGACCAGAGCACTGGAAGGCCGCTAAGAGGGTGATGCGCTACTTGTGCAGGGCATGGGGCTCGTGCTTGGAGGACGGGGTCCAGTTGTCCTCACTGGTCACGCAGACGCTTCTTGGGTTGACGACTTGGCTACGCAGTGGACGTCACAGGGTTACACTTTCAGCCTTGGCTCCAAATCTGTTTCGTATCTACACAGGGGCCATGACTGCACAGGAGTTACGCTGGCTCACCTACCTGCTGACCGACTTGGGAGAGCCGCCTCGTTCTCCTCCAGTTCTGTACGTCGACAACAAGGCAATGATTTCCTTGTATCAGGACCACAGACTGGAGCACAGAACGAAGCATATTGCTCTGCGCTACTTCCTGGCTCGAGAGCTGCAGTAGCGTGGACAGCTCCGTCTTGCGTACGTGGCCACTCGGGTTAACACTGCTGATGTGTTCACCAAGGCACTTCCGCCTAGTGACCATCAGCGCTTCTGCACTGCTCTTGGCCTTGTACCTATTTCGTCTCACCTGCTTACCTCTTGACCTTGCTTGTACTGTGATCTCTATTATATACCTGCATGCCTACACTTGCTAGGTAGTGATCACTATACTGCTTGCTGATACTTATATACCTCTGCATATGAACTGGCCTTGTGACCCTTTGCTTGTGCTCAGAGTGTGTGGTGACTTTGTGATCCACCCTGAGCTTGCTTTGCTTCTCTTGACTGGTCTTGTGACCCCTTGTTCTCCCCCACTTTGCCTATGGGGGTGTGTCAAACATATATGCTTAGGTTATTTATCTAGGCTGTAGTGGGGTAGCCACTATGGGATACAACCCCTTGTTCCTATTTTGTACCAAACTTTCTCGATAGTCTCATCATTCCTAGCTACCTATTCTAACAATGGTCTCTAAGTGTGAGAGGAGCACGGAGAGGAGAGAAGCAGCATCACAATTGTCAATGGTGAGCAACGACAAGAACTTAGTAACGACCGCACGCTCTCGCAGAAAAGTGATGAACACTATCATGTGCTTGCCGCGGACACGATCCGTGCTTTCGTCACAAGTGATCCCGAGGAAAGGGGACTTATCGATGTATTCTCGCTGGCGCGTACGGAGGTATGTCGCGGTGGCACTCGTGAGCTCCTGGAAGCCATACCTGGAACAAAGCACACCACTTCCTGCTGGTCAGAAAGCAGTGGAAAACTTAAACGGCAAAAGCGTGTCGTTCGGACAAGACTTACGTGGTGTAGTAAGCACCGTAGCCTTTCTTAGGAAAACCAGGTGTTCGGCGCTCGGCTAGATGCTTCACCAAGTCGACCCACATCTCGATCGGTGCGTCCTGTTGGCATATGAAGAGCAGGGTCATGGCCAGAGCGATCACACGCTCCTTCTCGATGTCGTACACCGTGGGGCAGTCGTCAAGCAATGTCTGTCCCTTTGCCTTCCTCTCTGTGTTTTCCTACTCCTTCAAAGCACGTTTGTGCTTCCTCGTTCTCTGGTGTGCTCGGAACGCTTGGGTCTGAATGTCAACTGCACCATGCCCTGCGCGGCCGAATTTCGTTCCTGTCACACCCTGAGCCACACATACACTGCATTTCACGGAGGGAAATCCGTCAGGTTGCTGACACAAAACAAGCCACGGGAAATCACCCGACCTCTCTTTAGTGTATCGGTACAGGGCGTCCTGATACTTCAGCTCTGCCTCGTCGACAAGCGGAATGGATGAGTTGGAGGTGGAAGGATTGGAGGGGCCTGCGATTGGGGACGGTGTCGCGGTTGACGCTGAAGGTCCAGTGCAGGCACGATGGAAGGTAATCTGCGCTTGCCGAAAGCGCATCGTGCCGTGTCTCAGCCCTACTCTCACGCCCATCCGCCTTGCTGGTGTCGGCCGTGACGTAGACGCGGGAGGAGGCGACGCCTCGCCATCCTGCCCCGTCTCAGTGGTAGAGTAGAGCCGCGTTTCAGAAGTCGGCGCAGCCCTAGTTGATGGATCAGGCCGAGAATCAGCCTGAGCAGGAGTTGAGGCCGAGGGTGGTACCGTGGGACGAAGGGCCCCTCTAATAGAGTGCTGGGTGGAAATCGCACCAGGCCATGTTAACGATAGAGCTCGCAGGTCGGAGGAAGTCAAGGCCCGTAAGGCCACGACTGCTGTTGTTACCAATCGGAGCTAATACATGATCTGTGTGGGTGGGAGGCGGGCTAGAGTCCGCCATGGCGATCGAGAGGTATTCAGTGCGGATTCTCGGAGCAAAGCATAGTGTTTGCAACCACTGCAGAGCACAGCCTGCCGAGCAAAGAAGAGACGTACTGAACAGATGGAAGGGCGTGGTGAACGAGGTGGCCAGGTGCCACCAACATGCACTGCACTGGCTTGAGATGGGTGGGGTGATGGGAGTTGGAAGGCGCCTTGGGCAATGCCAGCGCACAGAGCCAACACGCAGGAACTTGACTCACAATGTGCTACTGCTCCGATTGGTCAACTAGGGACATGCAGCAGCAGACGTGTTAGTGGTGGGTGTGAAGGGGGTACTGTAACGGGCAGTCACGCCTGCCGCATCGCTGTATGTTGCCCCATGTGGGCCATTTTGTCGCCAATGTGAGTGGTGGTGGGCGACTCACGTGTTTCGGCGCCAACTCTCGGAAATAAGGACTGGGCCCCCTAGGCGCACAGCGTAACCGTTTCAGGGTACGCCATACAAGAACCCTGACGCCTCAGGGCAGGCAGGTGTACACTACTCTGAAATCTCAGGGTGATATAAAACAGACATCCTGAAATCTCAGGGCTGAAAGAACTAAGACCCTGATTCTTCAGGGCAAGGGGGTTATGTCAACCCTGAAATCAGGGTAATCAGGGTATTTTACCCTAATATCAAGGGCCCTGACACCAAGTCTAACCGCGACTGGTATGAGTTTCGCGAGCGCAATCATCGCGTCGCAGTGCGACTACTTTGTGGGCGCGCTTGGGTCGAATTGGAGTTGGCTGATCATTGACTTGCGGGCGACCAACGGGCGGCTGCGGAATGGGTTTGTGGCGATCAACATGGGGGACTGGTGACTGTGTTTTGAGACGTCTCAGGAGTGGATATATGGTACATGTGGGACTGGTGTAGACGGTCTGATGTTCTACATTTTATGTAAAGACACATTTGGTAATGTGCAACACAGTTTTGATGAGTGTTGCTGTCCATATTTTGGAGTCATTTTTTTAATGAGAAATATCATGGGTGTATACACATAGCAGAGCAAAGAAGGCATCAGGGTAGATATCGAGCTATGAACCACGTATACAAGCCAATTAATACATACCATGCATTTCATACCCTACAACATAGCCATACGGTAACACTATGTACAAAGCCACCACCTGAACATGTCACTCATTCACACCCCGCACCCAGCCACTGCTAGGTCCCCTACAGGTACAGGAGCATCAGGGCGGCACTTGTGTGCCATGCAAACACCCCCCGGGCGCATTGAATACATGACAGCAGAGCGGGAAAACACCGAGTCCGCTGGGATAATAAGTAGGTGGGTGGATGCGAGGAGCAGCCATTCGGCCACTGTCTCCTGGTACCATGCAGGGGGGCCGGTTCGTGCAGTGGAGTTGGGTTCCTTGCTGATCGCCACGTGGCGGGGGATAAACTCAGTGGTCACAATCTGGAGGGGAGAGAAGGGGGTTGAATTGGGAGTCAAGACGGTGGAAGGGAGGGAGGGAGGGAGGGAGGGAGGGAGAGCGGGAGAGGAGGTGTGGGGTTGGGTGGGGGGAGAGGGGTGGAGATGCGCGATGATGCGCTGAGCGAAGCGTGGGGGAGACCCCTCAGCCAGGAAGTAGATTGGGGGAAGGCGGGTGCCTTAAGCAGAATACCTTGTGTTGAGAGTCATCTCCCAAGGCTGCTGTGATTTGAGGTACGGTACCTTGTTGGGGAATCTGTCGCGCAAGGCTGCTTTGAGGTGGGCGGAGTTGCAGATGAGGAACCACGTCACCCTCAAGGAGACCGGCCTCCACCACTGCTCCAACTCCTGCTGGCCGCACAGGGGCGACGAGCAGGGAGGAGGGAGGAAGAGAGGAAGGAGCAGGGAACAGGGAGCAGGGAGCAGGGATGAAACAACAAATAGAACAGCAGCATCGACATATAGCATCACGGACGCAGCAAGAACAAGCACAGCGGCAAATGACATGGCATACAGCACACGGCATACGGGGTCAGAATAACAAAAACAACATACAGCACACGGCATACGGGGTCAGAATAACAATAACAGCAAGCGCAGAAACCGGGAGAACTTCAAAAAGAAGAACCCCCTGGTTGCTCGACGTCTCAAAAGACTCATCTCCACTCAGCTTTCTCGTCATCTCTCCTCTGTCTCCCCGCTTGTCATCCCCTCCCTCTTCCTTCCTCTCATGATCCTCACCTGAGCACACTCAAACGCCTGCTTGTTCTCGTTATAGAGTTCCTCGACTACAGTCTCGTTGAGCACCTTGGGAACGCCATCATGCCAGTAATCCTCCCAGACTATGCCATCTTGCACACGCACGTGTATGCCGATGCTGATGCTGTTTGGTGCATTCACCTGCTGGCTTATGCCCCTCATCAGCTGCCATACCTCCGGCTTAGGTCTGGGAACCGATGGATTGAAGAATTTTCGAGAAACATGGGGAGAAAGAGAGGAGGGAACCGAGGGGTGGGAAGGGAAACAAATACCGGGAAAAAGGGGGGAATGTTTTGGGAGGTGAAAGAGAGGAGGCGAGAGGACAGACAGAGCCAGCCTATCTGTTAAATTCACACTTCTGCCCGCTGTCAAACAAAAATCGGTTGCTTTTTTAGAATCCTCAGAAGTTCTTTTCAGAATCCTCTGCTGGTTTTCTAAAATCCCCGGCTAAGTTTTAGTTTCCTGTGCTGGAAGCCTAAAATCTTCAACCGCTTCTCTTCTAAACTTCCACCTCTCCACAGCGGCAACCCGTCAATGACACAAGAGCAACCCACCGGAGCAGGAATCGCATGACGCACGCGAAGGCGTACGGAGGGGTCAAGCCAATGCCTCTGAACTTATCCGCCCACGCGCCCTTCTCCTTGGTCAGCAGATTGAACAGAATTCCGCGGTTCCACAACAGCCCGATGTGCGCTATCCCACTCAGCTTCCCGAACAGCGCCTCGGGATTCGTAACGTTCCTATTGTACAGGCTCAGTCGCGCGTATGGCACGTCGGGGGGGTTATTCTCGTCACTTATTCGCCATGACGGTTCCGAAAAGATAATGTCGGTCGTGTCGCGCCAGTCGAAGGTCGCGGGTTCGAAGGCGAACGGTAACCATTCCTGGCGAATTAGAAACGCGCGATCGTCTAGAAGCGCCGCGACGAACGTCGACGCGAGCCCGAACACCGTGTCGCCGAACCCGTCGTGCCCCGAGTCGAAGATCAGCGTGCGACAGCGCGACGCAGAGGCAGCGGGGGCTTCGGGCGAACCAGCGGAACCAGGAGCGGCGGCGGGGTCGGCGGCTTGCGCGTCGGCCTTGCAGGCGGCGCGGACGCGGTCGTGGAGGGTCATGTAGGTCTCTCGAAGCGACCCGCACAGGTGGTCCGGAAACGCGAAGTCGAAGGGGTGCGGGATGCCCGGGCCCGTCCCCGCGAATGCCTGCCACACCGCCACGCGCGGGAAAAGGCGGATGCGCGGAACAGGTGGACAGCCGTGACAGTTGTCGAGGCGAGGTTCAGGTGAAAAAAAATAACACGAAAAATAAGAGGCTGAATTTATATGCCCCAATGGACCAGATCATCCGCGATATTGAGCAACCGAGAAATGTTTGCCCTGCACAACATGCTTTGCATTTTATGTTCAAACAAGATTGCAAAACCTTCTTCCTTACCTGATGATCCGCGGCCGCCGAGGCGTCATGATGCGCGAACCCGATTAGCAATAGTAGTACTATCAGCCGCGTGTCCAGCACAACGACTGTTACCCTTGCGGGTAGTAATAATCTACAGGGCCTGTAGTGGTAGTAGGGCCACAACTCAATCGCCAGTTTCATTGCTCAGTAGTGTCAGTGAAGGGGAGACTCCCCGAACTATCCCGCAAGTCGGGAGATCTGCGTCCGAGGTGAACTTTGCCAAAGCTACAGCTACATTTCGAACTTGCTGCAGGACGGAGCCATAGATCACAAAAAAAAAATCTGTACATACATGATTCGAATGATATATTGGAGGGGGAACAAAATGGCTGAATTAATTACTTTTTACACACACAACCTGCCACCCCTCTGCCACCATTGAAATCTGTAATTATACAGTCCAATATGCAACCTGTTTACACATTACTACTCGGAATGTTGTACGATAATAGTTATGATAATTTTTAAACACACGAAGTGTTTTTCAAAATTACGTATTTCGAAAGCGCAGCTGCCTGTAACGCAGATTTGGCATCGTCGAAGCGCGCTAAACGCCCTTCTCCAACTACAAAACGTGGGTTGGAGCTTGTGAAAACAGTAGGTAGAGTTAGGAGCCATAGCTAGGTAAGTCCTAGCTAGGCAAGAGAAGTTTAGGCAAAAGAGGAAGGAGTTCACTAGCAGCAATGAGGATACATATAGCAAACCCTAGATGGGTTGTACTCGCTATAGAGCACCCCACTACAGGCTAGAGAATAACATTCTGACACACCCCCATAGCCAAAGTGGGGTGTAATCAGTACAATGAGCAAGCAGGTATAGAGCAGGAGTTCACAAAGGTAAGCAAAGCTAGAGCTAATCACAGCGGGCAAGTGAGGAGGAGGAGGAGCTGTGGAGGTAGAGAAGATGGGAGGCAACGACTGAAGCTGCAGAGGCACGGGCACAGGAGCGGCTGACTCAGAGGCTACCGAAGCAAGGGCGACGGACTACTGGAGTAACTGGCTCGGCGGCTATAGAAGAGCGGCAGGAGCAACGGACCCACTGGCGACTGGTGCAGCAGGCTCACTGGCTACCGAAGCAAGGGCGACGGACTACAGGCGCTGCAGGCGACACGACAGGTACCTCCACACAACCTCCTCCAACTGCCCCACACCCTCGACACACACCCACTGCTCAAACCCTAGCTCCACTCCCACGCACCCCCCTAAAACCCTAAACCCTAGGCTCCCACACACCCACCCCCCTCAGCGGCAGCTGCAGCAGTGGGAGACCAGGGAGGAGGAGGAGCAAGGGGAGTAACACACAACCGCCACCCCCACACTCCTCACCCCCAAACCCTAATTCAGGAGAACGGGCAGCAGTAGGGGTGGGGCACCGTCAGAAGCACGGGGGACAGCGAGCAGCTCAGGGACAGAGAGGAACGGGCCGCCCACGGGCCTGGCACAGCCCGACGAACCGCGCGCAGGCGGCCCGAGCCGCGCGCGGGCCTGGCGCAGCCCGTACGGGCCGCGCGCGGGCCTGGCGCAGCCCGTACGGGCCACGCGCGGGCCGGGCGCAGCCCGTACGGGCCGCGCTCGGGGCTGGTGCAGCCCGCGCTGGCCAGGACGGGCGACGGGGGACGACGGGCTGGTCCCCGTCGCCCGTCGAAGCGCCCGACGGGGGCGACGCGCGGACCGACGGGGCAGAAGGCCGCCGCGCGCCTCGGGGAGCACGGCGGGCAGAGAACCGCTGCACGCCCCGGGGCGCACGGCGGGCAGAAAACCGCCGCGCGCCTCGGGGCGCACGGCGGGCAGAAAACCGCCGCACGCTCCGAGCGCGCGGCGGGATGAAAAATCCGTCGCACGCCACGGGGCGTGCGACACAGAGAGTGGCAGTAGCAGCGGAAGCAGTGAGGTGGTGAGCCCACCCACAGGATCGACCCAAGGGGATCGACCTGCTCTGATAGCATGTGAAAATAGTAGGTAGAGTTAGGAGCCATAGCTAGGTAAGTCCTAGCTAGGCAAGAGAAGTTTAGGCAAAAGGGGAAGGAGTTCACTAGCAGCAATGAGGATACATATAGCAAACCCTAGATGGGTTGTACTCGCTATAGAGCACCCCACTACAGGCTAGAGAATAACATTCTGACAGAGCTCATTTCCCTCCACCCACGTCTCTCATTTTCCAACGGCTCATGCAACTCTCAGTTCCTCGAGCTCATTTCTAGTTTTCCGTTCAAGCTGGCTAGAACTCGCTCTCTACCGAGAGGCGTTTCACCTTCAACTTTATTAGCTGACATTCTCAACCACAACCGCTCGACTATGGCTGCTACGCCGACACTTAACCGCGCGAACAACACCGTCGTGAACGACTCGAATATTTCCGACACCGATCGTAACGCCCGGGAAATGTCGGGCGAGCACCGCAACAAGCGCCGGGCAGACGGCGAAACGTCCACCCCAACAGCTGTCGACGTGCTGCTAGGCGGGCTCGAGGTCAACAAAAACGCCGAGCGGCACCAGCAGCACCCTTCGGCGCCTGTGGCGCCTGTTGCGCCAGTGGCACCCGTGGCACCAGTGGAGAACGTGGCGCCACACGCGACTGACGCGGAGCACGCGCCTGAGGCACACGCGCCCCACAGGCAGTCGCGTCAGCGCCAGAGGCGCCGTACGGCCGCCTCGTCTGACGCGACCGTTGACCCGGACTTGACCCAGGCGTTGACCCCGGACCAAGTCAAGGCGCTCCTGTCCCTGTTACAGCATCGACCCGCCAGCGCAATTGAAGCCGAAACTACACAACCGGCGGCATCAATTTCGGCTAAAAACGAAAATTCGAAAAAGGAGAAGGGAGCGAAAGGAGCATCAACACGCTGCCACAACAAGGAGGTAGCTACCAGCGTTCCCGAAGCCGCAGCCGACGACCACGACTCCGACGACTCTGACGACGACGCTGGTGAGGCTCCGATCAACGCAGCAAATGTCACATCCATGGAAAATCTCCCCCCCCTTCCTTCCACCACCCCTACCTTTACGGCGGCAAACTTCATGAAGGCGTTCGTGCGCGCGAAGGCGGAGCCCCTGGAGGACGTGAGGGCCTACCTGAAACACGCGGAGTACAAGCTGCAGCACGACGACACGGCGGGCGGACTCGAAATGGTCATGAATGTCACAATCCCAACCACTAGACCATTGGGATAAAAGGGCTTGTTAAGTAGCGGGTCCGTGCGCCCATAACCCCCCATGCCAACGTGCCTGTAACCCTTCTCTAGGATCAATCGGGGATCACCAGTGGACCTCTGACAATGAACGCCCTCGACTACATTTCGGAGCGTTTTGTGATGTTTCAAGTCGAGGACCACACCGACGACCGCGTGGCAAAGCGATTCAAGCTCTACCAACAGAAGAGTCTCCTGACTTCCCGCCCGTTCAAGCAGGCGGTAGCTGATGTGGCGGCTATGGATCGCGCGGAGGGCGCGTACGCTCGTTCCCACCGCGTTGGAGGGCATGGGCCGACGGCATACACCCCAAAGCGTGGACCGCCGCCCACGGGTGGCTTCCATGGCTTCCGTGGGGCGTGCTTCCGTTGTGGCCAGCCGGGTCACGTGGCAAGCGGCTGCCCGAGGAACGGGAACGGTGGCCAAGGTCCCGCACCCGTGGTGTAGGGGCGGGCCTTGAGCGGTTGCGCCTTGTGCGCGTGGCATGGTGCACGTCATGTGCAAAATCCGTGGGCAACCCAAAGGGGTTAGCGATGGCAGTTGGCCAGCCCTAGTTAGGGGTGATTGATAGGCTAGAGACCTAGGATGCGGGGGAGGGAATTACAAACCTCTTGGCCCTTAGTATTAGCCCATGCGGTAGGGGCAAAGGCATGCTAGGAGCATGGCAATGTATGGCCCGTTTCATATAAGGGCGGACTTATTAAAGGAGCGATTTCTGATTTTGGCTCATGATGAAAAAAAAAAAAAAAAAGGGAGAGAGAGTGAGAGCGAGAAGAAGACGAAGGAGAAGAAGAAGAGAGAAGGAGAGAAAGGGAGATGGAGGCAAAAAAAAAAAAAAGGGGGCGAAGATATGTACCGTACGACCCCAATCAATGGCCCTTGCACTCATCGGACGGGCAGCCATTGCCTTGGGTGAGCAAGAGTGAGAACAAAAGAGAGGGTGTGTGTGTGTATGCGAGAATGAAGAGAGGCAGAGAGAGAGAGAGGGAGAGAGAGAGGACACGAGAGAGTTCCTTCCCTCTCCTCCTGTTGTGGCCACGTGACCACGCGGAAAGACTCACACCCGCACCTTGGTTGGTGGATTGAAAAAAAAAAAAAAAAAAAACCCGTACAATGCGGATGCTAGGGGTGACAAATGGTATTCGAATGGGTCAACAAGCACGCATTCATCACATGCACCGCCATTTCACGCACGAAGGCTGGAAATCATATCCATAGGAACCTCATTTCGCATTCCCGCTCCATTGTCATTCCGCAAACATGCAGCGGCAATACGCCATGAGGTGTTCGACGACGACGATCCGTACGAATTCGCCGTCACAGACAAGACCGTCACGCAAATGCGCGGGCGGCTTAGCGCAACCCTCGCATGGTGGGGCTCGTGGTGCCCAAGTAGCCTTATCCTCTCGGTCATCGCCAACGGCTACTGGCTACCATGGAGCCACAACCCCCCACAACCGTTTCACGAGCGCAACCATCTCGGCGCGCACACACACGCGGCATTCACACGCACTGCCATTCGCGAACTGACAGATACCGGAGCGGCGGTAGCTACCCCAGCAGCGGAACTAACATGCATCAGCCCACTCAACGTGGTTGAGCAACGTGACAAATGCAGGCTTATTCTCGACCTCCGGAAAGTGAACGCGCAACTAATCATCCCCAAATTCAAATACGAAGGGCTAAGCCGCGTTGCCGACCTGGCACGCACAGGCGACTGGATGTTCTCCATCGACCTCAAATCCGGATACCATCACATCGACATACACCACTCATGCTGGACATTCCTCGGCTTCGAATTTGAGGGGAGCACGTACTCTTTCCGCTCATTGCCCTTCGGCCTCGCGACAGCACCATTTGTCTTCACACAACTCATCAAACAACTAGCCAGGCGCTGGCGCGAACAAGGCATCCGAGTTGTACCCTATGTGGACGACATCCTGTTTTTATGCAAGTCCAAGGCACATGCACAAGCAACGTGCCAGATGATAATCTCGGACCTCAAGATGGCGGGCCTGGTAATCAACGCGAAAAAGTCGCAGCTGTCACCGTCACAACACCTGCGATTCTTGGGCGTCGAGCTGGATACCAACTCCGGACAATTCTCCATTGGCACCGATCGACGAGCATCACTTCATGCACACATTCTCAATCTCCTGGGCGCAAGCAAAGCACGTCGACAGGTCCCAGTCCGCCACCTGGCTAGAATCACTGGCACGCTCGCGTCAATGGCTGTCGCGCTAGGTGCCACGGCGTGCGCATTCAGCCACGCCATGTTACAAGCGATCAACGACGCGCCATCCTGGGGAAGCAGTGTGAGCATTTTCCCGTCTGTGGCCGAGGAGCTGCAATTCTGGCTTGAGGAGTTCGACAGATTCAACGGCGCACCATTCCACGTCCGGAACAGTTACAACGCCGTAATCCACGTGGACGCCAGTTCCCACAGTTGGGGTGCCACTCTACTCACCTTCCCTGGCGAACTCGAAGAAGCCAGTGCAGCCATGCCAGAAGCACGCAACGTCCAGCACCCGACGGGAAATCGAAGGTGTCCTATGGGCCCTCCGAACGTACGCGAACAAGGTCCGACGGAAACACGTGCTCGTGAGGGTGGACAACCAAGGGGTCTTCTTCATCCTTCGCAAAGGCGGTTCTCGCACCCCCGACCTGACCAACGCTTGCAAGGACATCATTCGCACCTGCATGGAGCTCGGCACTCGACTAATTGTCGAATGGATCCCGCGTGAGCTTAACTCCCATGCCGACGAGCTGTCGAAACTGATCGACCATGACGATTACTCACTGAAGCAACCATGGTTCCGAATCCTTGATCGCCGCTGGGGACCCCACTCCATCGATCTCTTCGCGAACCATCGCAACTCGCATCTGCCACGATTCTGCTCAAAGATCCCTCACCCAGAGGCTACTGCAGTTGATGCATTCTCATGCTCATGGACAGCCGAGAATGGCTTCGCGTTCCCACCACCCCAGCTGATCCCAGCAGTCATCCACCACGCACAACGCACCCACGCATCACTCACCCTAATTGCCCCACACTGGACGGGGGCAAACTGGTGGCCACTCTTACAACCCTCCCCACCAAACTGGGCCCCGCACATCAGAGCGCACATTCCCCTGACGCACGGCAGCCAATGTCTAGCAGTAGGAACGCACCGCACTGCATTCTCAGGCACAGGACTGCCTCATAGCACAATCATTGCACTACGAGTGGTCTTCAACTAACCCGCCCATACGCCTGTGCGCAGACGTGTTGCCGAAGCTACAAGTCCAGCTTCTAAAGATGCTCTCCCAGTCTCGGGCCGATTCAACAATCCGAACATATGAGCCATACTGGGTCAAATTTCGAGCCTTTTGTGCAAAGGTGAACCTCCCATTCCTCCCCACGGCGGACATGACCCTCACGCTGTACCTGGTGTACGCGATCCAACACAAAGCCACCTTGTCCATGGTACAACTCACATGCTCAGCCGTGAGCTTTGCACACCGCATGACCAGGAGCATCTGCCCAACGATCGGACCATTCACCACTCAAGTACGCGATTTCGCAAAAAGGCACTGCCCTCGCCCCATGCGAGTGAAGGAGCCTGTCTCGCTGCAACAAGTCCACGACATGTTTGCCAGCTACCTGCAATCCGACAACCCAGGAGAGTTCCAAAAGGGGCTAATCCCCATCCTCATGTACACCGGATTTTTAAGATACTCGGACCTCATCGTCATCGAGTGGCAAGATATCCAGTTCGAGAACGAGGTCATGTGGATTCTAATTCCGTACTCCAAGACGGACCAAGCTGGAAGGGGCACATGGATACCCATCGCCGCAACTCATGACCCCTTTTGCCCCGTCCGCTGCACCCGACGACTCATCCAACTTGCGGGGTACAACCAGCAGTCCGCGGGGCCACTTATTCGAGTCTTTGGACGCGGTTCACCCCAAAGTGGCCAAGCAAGGCCGCCATCATACCCGACGATCCGAAACTTGTGCAAAGAAGCGTTCGGGAGGATCGGATTAGGAGAACAGCAGCTGGGCACTCACTCCTTTCGCAAAGGAGCAGCCACTGCCACGGCAAACACCGGTGTGCCAGACAGAATCTTCAAACGACTGGGCAGATGGCGCAGCGACACAGCGAAGGAGATGTACGTCACGCCGAACGCCGAACACCTCGTCAACGCCTCCCGTCAGTTGCAAGATCTGACATACGCCCCTTCTTCAGTGCAGCATGCCGAGGCACTCGTCCGCCATCAAAAGCCCCCGCTGCCCATGTCTCAGAGACCCCAGTTGCAATGAGAACGATGCCAAATGATCAGTATAAGAAAGCAAGCTTTCTAAATATGATAATTTTTAAACACACGAAGTGTTTTTCAAAATTACGTATTTCGAAAGCGCAGCTGCCTGTAACGCAGATTTGGCATCGTCGAAGCGCGCTAAACGCCCTTCTCCAACTACAAAACGTGGGTTGGAGCTCATTTCCCTCCACCCACGTCTCTCATTTTCCAACGGCTCATGCAACTCTCCCACCCCCCACCCCGACACCGAGGACATCTGCGACGCCGCTGCCCAGGAGTAGTTGCGCAGGTTCTTGTAACACTGACAGTTGCACATACTCGTTTGTGCAATGTCGTCACTTCCCTCCAATCTGGTCCAATGTGGAATTGTGCATATTGAGATGCATGATTTGGAGTGTACCCAATCTCTAGTATGCGGTATGCGAAGTCTCGCTACTTCGCATAGAGCTGCTACACGCGAAACCAGCCGCGTGCAGGCATGTGTCATCCCTGCATGGTGCGGTGAGGAGGACCGGGGTTCGGTTCCTACTGTCGGCGACATCCTATGCTCTAGTGGTGGGCCCTCCTAGTGAGGGGAGTGTTGGAAGTGGACACTGGAATGGCCCGAGGTGGTCTCCCCAAGGGCTACATGTGTCGTCATGGGGAGGTATGGGTGCGCCGACCACCAAGGAAACATTGCCTTTGACCCAGTTGGTTAGTGAATTGGGTCCTTGTCTGGGGTGCCAAAAGGACACTGGGATTGGCCTCTGGCTTGGCTGGAAGGGCTACAAGCTGAGTGCTTGAGAGGCGTGAGCGCGCTCACCCGCTCTGCAATCATGCCTTTCAACCCAGTTTAGCGAACTGGAATGCTATCCCTGCGGTGGTTTGGGGCGATGAAATAGGCCGAGCCGAACTGACGCATGGCCTTCGGGTTGTTCTCTCCAAAGTGCGAGTGAGTAAGGAGTTACATTTCCTTCGCCCAAATCGGTGTTGTGTCCCTCCCGATCGGGGATGATTATGCCAATGCACCACGGCCTCTATGCCGTGCCGATCAGAAGGTTCAAACTTGTAGAGAGAGTATCCAACCGAAGCGACCGAACCGAATTGAGAGAGAGTTTAGTTCCTTGTGAACCGAACCGACATGCCTTGCGGAGAACTGTACCAGGGCTCTGTTCGAGAGACACACGATTTCGCTCCGTACGAGCCATTCTTTTAGCTGGCGTCACAAAGTCAGACCAAAAATTGGTGCTGTGTCAAACTGGAACCAAAAAACTAGTATCCATTGAGCGAGTATTTGCGATTTCCTACAAAGGCCTCTTTATGGCCATGACCATGAAATCGGCCCGCTGAGTGGCATTCGAGCTGCCGCTTTAGGTACAACGTAGCAAGCAAGCTGCGAGCCATGTAAAGGCTCCTCGTTGTTTGCTCCTCCGCGCGAGATCGCGCTGCTGTTTAGTCCCTGGTGACCGAGTCAGCCCATCCTGGCACTGCTTGCACTGCTAGTAGTGCCATGGCCAGCGCTGGAAGTAGTAGTAGCGCATGGAACGTGCAGGCGAAGCTGAGCCAGCTGGCGGAGCAAGCGGACGAGGAAGATCAACGCACCCGTCGTCGGAAGCTTCTCGGCTACTTCCTCGTCGTCGCGCTCCTGTGCGTCGTCCTTCTCACTCTCAGCTTCCCCTCGGCGGTATTCTCACCTTCTGATTCATTCCCATCCGCGCAGAGTTCCCTCGGAACGTTCAGTAGCAGCAGCAGCAGCAGCAGATTCAGCTATCCCTTCTCTCCGCCTTTCCTGTCGCGCGGCGGCGCGTCGACTCACACTCTTCCCGACGACTCCGAGGTTCTCGTATGCGCAACCAACACCACACGCGCCAGCGCCGCGACGTACGCAAAATCAGACCCAAACTTCCCACGACCAATCCCGTGGGTACCGCAGCCAAAGAAATACCTGCTAGCGACGTGCGTGAGAGGACGGCTGACGAACCGCCACGAGTGCCTGCACAAGTCGCTGCTCGTCGCGATGCTGCTCAACCGCACGCTCATCGTGCCGCCTCTCGACGTCTGCCCTCGCGCGTTCTTCTCCCATCCGCAGTTCAATCTCGCCAATTCCGTCGATCTGGATCACCTCAGCGCGTGCTTCGGAGGGGCCGGGGGAGCCGCCACCCAAGGCGCAGCAGCGGCGGCGGCGGCGGCGGCGGCAAATGAAACGGGAATGGCGCCGCCGGGGGGTGTGGGCCCCGGCGTGGTCACGCTACAGCAGTACCTGCAGTCAAATCAGCTCACGATGCTCACAGTGAACCTACTCGCCTGTGGCCTAGCGTACGACCCTCCCCCTGAAAGCTGCCCAGCCTTCTCCGCGTGCAACAACGACCCTAAAACTATCCCCATAGCCTTCCTATCAGGCCATTCCACTTTAGTCCTTCCTGCTGGCCGGCTAGCAGACCTAGCCTCCCGCCTGCACCAAGCCCTCCCTCAGGCCTCCAATGTGCCTGTGCTGTGCCTGGGGGATTTACTCTACGTAGACACGAGTGACATTCGAGAGGAAGGGCCGTTTCTTTCTCGGGATATCCTCCCCACCGACTGCCCGTTCCCGCTCAGGCCACCCCCCAATGCTGTGGCGGCAGCAGCGTGGTTCATGCAGGAATACACGGGGAGCGATTTTGCCGCTCTGCACTTGAGGCGGGGGGACTTTTACTCGCGGTTTCAGTGGTCTCAGGGTGCGAAGGCGGATTACTTCCCCTTGGAAACGATTGCAGATTACATTGCGGAGACTCTAGCCGCCGCTAATGCCGCCGCTGCTGCTGCTGCTGCTGCTGCTGCTGCTGCTGCTGGGATTGGCACTGCTGGTGTGGCTTTCCAAGCTGGTGCGACAGAGTCTGTGATTGGTGGAAAGGGGTCCTGCCTGAGAGGAAACTTGCAATGGCAGCCAATTCGGATGCTAGTGCTCTGCTCAGATGCAGGAGAGAGACAAGAAAGTGTACTCTCACGCTTGCTAGCAGTCCATGGCATCACTGTTGTGCGATTGGACGTTGTCAGCGATCCTGCTTTTGCGTTTTCCAGGGTAAATATCCCTGCACCTGCCCGTGCTGACACTGTCGTGATGGCGGAAAAGGTGGTTGCGGCCAATGCACGGATAATGTTCTATTCATGGTGCTCCAGTTTCTCCCAGCATATCAAGCATATAAGGGAGAGCCTAGGGCGTGTCAGTTGTTGGGACAGCATACTCTGTGAGGGGAGGAGCAAGGAGGTGACTTTGTCAGCAGCAGGACTCTACGATTAACTAGCGTAGCAATATTTCAAAATATCGTTAGGAGGCTTACATGTGTGCAGTGTGCATGCATACTGCATCAAGTAGGGAAATTTGGGGAAATTTAAAGCATGAAAATGTCAATCCGCGAATGCACTTGTGAAGGTGTCCTCCTTGGGGATGAAAGATAAACATTAGATAAATTGGTCACCCATCAACGAAAAAACGTCTTATAGGCACTATATAAAAGCACTGTACGAAATGTATCCCTCTAAAATAACCAATCACAACAAGCTGAGTGAAACAAGCAGTACCCATGCGGAACCAACAGCACCCAGCCTAAACTTTTATATCCGTCGAGCCAACTATCGTAAACCTATCGCAGATACATTTCAGGCGAACTTGCAGAGATGTTCTAGTATCCAGAATCCAGTGAGCGAGCTTCGTGAGCACGCGGAGCGGAAGTTTAAGCCGTCGCGCGGGACCGCTTCTTCCGCGCTTTCTCCAGCCCCACGAGCTGCACGTCGAAGATGATCGTCGCGCCCGCTGTAGTAGCCGTTATTCAGCGATTCGCGGGCGGTGACGTATGAACGCACGCGGTATGACGGGTTTGTCACGGATGCATGGACATGGACGGGTAGGCAGGGGATGTAGGGAGAATGGGTCAGGCGACGATTGACTGCTAACATCATTCAAACGCCGCGTAGATGATCGCTCAGATCGTCGCAAGTACGACAATCCGTCACGTGAGTATATTCTGAGAAAAAACACCACAGCATCGCCACGCCAATATGCACTGGGTTCTGCAGCCCTTTTTCGTATAAAAGCATAAATCAAACCATATTCCCAAATGTTTGTACAGCGACGCAGGTGCGGGATCGGTGAGGCATCTCACGCGGAATGCCGTACACGTGGCCCTCGTCGCCGTATCCAAGCTGCGGCGGAATCTTGAGCTTGCGCTTCTCCCCCAGACACATGCCCAACACGCCGCTCTCCAAGCCTGCCGGGAGAAACGGGCGGAGAGAGAGGCAAGGGGGTGGAGGGAGAGAGGGGGATGGGGGGGGAATAGGGGAGGCAAGAATAGAGGAGGCGCGAACGGAATGTTGCCAAGGTGACAGTGAGGAGACAAGAAGCGGCGATTAAGTCAGGGGAAGAGGGAGATGGAACGGGGCGGATACACAGAACCTCGGAGGAGCTACGTGGGCAGGCCATGGTGAACCTTTCATTAATTCCTTGAAAAAAAAAGCACCAGCAACAAGAGCCATGCGAGCAGGAGTCGGTGGAAAAGAGGGGTGTGAGTAGGCGATAGGACCGAAGGTAACGGGTACATTCGGGAAGGTATAGATGAAGAGAGGGAGGGGAGTGGAGGACGGAGGGCGTGGGGAGGCTTGGAGAAAAAGTGGGCTAGTGTCATGGGAGTTGTTGTAGCGCAGTGGCACCTTTAATCACGCTGCCTGCACCGATTCGGAACTGCACTGGAACGTCCAGGTCGTATGTGTTGTCAAACTGCCGGCCGTCCGTCAAGAATCCCTGTGATAGTTCGGAGAGTGATGGCGAACAGAGTAACAAGGGACAGCAGGAGCAGAGGGGGGAACAGGTAAGGGGTGGCGAGTCGTCCGAGGATGCGACAATTGAAGGCAGGACAAATAGGTGCATTTGTTTGCAACATCTACGAACAGGGAGCGCAGATAGAGCAGAGACGCACGGGCACGCACGCAATTCATGCACCCATGCATGCACACCATTCATGCATGCATGCACGCACACCATTCACGAACGCACGCATGCATGGCCGCACGCACACACGCACGCATGCCCGCACGCATGCCCGCACGCACACACGCACGCACCCTGTAGTGAACCTTCACTCGGTCATTGAGGTGAGCTGTTGCACCACACTTCTTGGGCTTGAACTGATCACACACGCAACCAGGTCGGAAGGCATGGGGGGGAGGAGGGGGGGGAGAGAGGATGGGGAGGGGTAGCAAGAAGGGAGCATGAGGGGGATGGCACAAGGGGATGCAAGAGGGAAGGAAGGGAGAATACTTAATCAGGGAATGATGGGAACGCACAAGGGTGCAAGTGTCTGACTGGATTTCGTAGAGGCACGAAAGATTTCTTAGTGTCGAGGTTCAACACAGTATGCACATTGGCGACTGGGAAACCGTTCTCAGAATCACTCATTTGCTCTGGCATGCGCTGATTCTGACTGACTTTGCACTTACCTTCACGCCTATCTGTAGCTGAGTCACGTCCTTCTCCTGCTTCCCAGTCACCTCTGGAGGCTGCGATGCTGCTGCCGTGTCTGGTAGATGGGGCCGCAAGAACCACAGGGTGAGGAGAATAATACAAGGGTGCATGGAGACGACAAGAATGGAAAGCCGGAGAACAGAAGGCGGTTGAGAGGATTCGCAGGCAGTTAGATAGCACTGAACTCCTTGAGAATGGAAAGCAATGTAATGGACCTGGCAGAATGGGGAGGCCATGAGTGAACCGTAATTACACGATTTACTCGATCATTACACGGAAATCGGTTCTTCTCGTTAGCAGAAACGAAGAGGTGCACCAAACTCCCGTACTTCACGTGAAAACGATATCCGTGGAATCGCGAGGATCCAGGTCAGTACCTGACGCGAGGATTGCTGCAAGGAGCAGCAACGAGAGCACGGAGAGACAGCGGTGCGTCCTGTGCGCCAGGAATTGCGCCATGATGACGAGAAGGCTTGTATCTTGTCCGCCGGAAGAGGAGGAAACTGGCGGTGAAGCGCCTTTACAAGAGAACAACGAGCAGTCTGAGACCGGGGATGATAGGACGTCAGGAATCAGTGTTACTGAATACGAAAAGCTCGTTCTGTGCGTGTCGAATAAATAACAGCTGGGTAATCGGATCCGTCGCGCTGGTGGCGCAGGCCACTATGGAACGGGAGAGGGTGACAGGTCATACAGAAGCAGGGTGTGACATGTTCCTTCCTAACCGTAACGGAACGACAGTTGTAGTAGGGAACCGAAGAGGCTTCCGGATGACCCCCAAAAAAGGAGCAAACCAAATATTCCAAAAAAATTATCACAGGCATGTAGAACGAGGTTTGCTGGGAGGAAGCCGTGAGTTTCAGAACGGACAGTCTCTTCCAGCCAGTTCGCTTGGGCTTCCAGCAGCAGCATTGCAGCAGCGCTGACGTTCCCGTTGCACCTGTTGCGGGGCCTGATCCGAGCCGCCTCGACGAGAGATTGAAGGGTCGAATGTGCCGTTTCGTCTTCCTTATGTGATGCAATATTGAGTATTTTGGTTTACGATATGAATTTACTGAACAATATTAAAGCAATGTACCGTAAGTAGGGCATATTCTATAAAATAACTGATAATGGTATTCCTGGACTGTTGGCACCAATGCCTACAGGATGCTACCGCGCGAAGGTGTATCAACATCTGAGTAAGAATGCTCCCGATGGCTGTTTGTGAGTATTTTCATAAAGCGGATATTTTTACGGACCAGAAGTAAGAGATTCTCTGTCCTTCCGCCCAAGTCAAACACGACATTGGCCCAGGCCCATCCTTTGTGCCCGAACCTTGCTTGGAATCAACCACCAATCAAATAGTTGCACTGTAAACACGGTACTGCGGTGATTGGTTAATCGCGAAGGCTAACCTCATCTGCACCTTCGTGTGTGCTGTCAAAAGAGAAGTACATTACGCAGGCCAGCCAGGCCAGAGGAGATCCCACCCTAGGTGGAGTTGCTTGCTGGTTCTTCATCGCATGGATCACGTTATCTCCACGGCAACATTTGTTCTGATCGAACGAATTCCAAGCCAGCCCATCGTTTGGTAAGGGCGTGGGCCCAACCGAGTTTGATCGCGACTGATCTGATCGGGTTGGATCTGATCGGGTTGCTTGTGATCGTAGTGCCCGAGCCGCCCGATCAGAGATGATTTTCGGAAAAGGCTGTCAGCGCCTGCTCAGAAAGCGCGATTCATTTGCGTGGCATTTTGGTCACCATTTTAGCGAGATTGACGACCAGGCTTCACCTGGCGAAAATCTTCGTTTCACTGTAAGTGCAACAGTGTAACTACTTGCAAGCATCGTTGGGTGCCCCGATCACAAGCAATCAATTGATTGCCTGTGATCGAGGAAAATCGACTCTGATCGGGGTTAAAATCGGGTCTGATCGAGGTTGGGCGATCAGCTGATCGCCCCAACTCAATCACACCAGATTTTCACCCGGATCAAATTCGATTTTGCTCAATCACCCTCGATCAGTTGATTGCATGTGATCGAGGGCCATAACGACGGTTGCGAAATGTTACACTGTTGAACTGAGTCTCGTGAAACCCTCGCTCATGCATGGCACATGGTGAGAACTCTCCAGGGGTTGACGATATTCCAGGGAAACAAATGGGTTCGCCAGGTGACGTTCAGTCGCCGATCTCGCGTGAGTTGGATAAGAACTTCCACGTAATGTTCTTGTGTTTGCCAAGCAACATCTCCACAACTTCGAAGAAAAACATTGCTGATCGGGCGGCTCCAGCAAAGTGATCACAGCCAATCCGATCCGATCAGATCAGAGCCGATCAGAGGCGATAAAAAACTTTGAGGAAGGCGGGAAGCAGATTTCAGGCAATCAGGGGCAATCAGCTGATCGCGATCAGCTGATCTCGCCAACTCAATCAACCGCCTCAAACAGCCCGATCAGACCCGATCAGACACAATCAGCCCCAATCACTTGATTGCATGTGATCGACGACCTGGGCGATGTACGCGATATGTAACACGCCTCGCCATGAGGTCTCGAAAATCCTTGCGAATACACCCAGATCGGCGAGAACTCTATGCGTGGTGCACACAGAGTGGTTCGAAGGTTCTGGAGCGGACCTTGTGCGGTGCGGGCGATGTTGGCGACATTACCACGATACTGAGATTCGTCCGTCTCGCCAAAGTTGGGATACAACTACCAGGTAATGGGCCGACAGTTTTCATGCAAAAGCGCGAAAAATTCGAGGAAAATCATCTCTGATCGGGCGGCGCGAGAAAAACTATCACAAGCAATCCGATCCGACCCAACCCGATCCGATCAGAGCCGAACAAAGTCGATTGGGCCCACGTCCTAAGTACAGAATGGGCTGCCCAGAGACAAAATTCATTAACAAAACATTCATGCAGCATTCATGAATGTCAATCGAACTCCCCACGAGTATGCACGGTGTGGAATGGACTTAGGGAATTTAGGGATATCTTTAAGGGGGAATATTAAAAAATATAGGTTTCTCCAAGAAACGGCCATATTAGCACGTCAATTATATAATCCTGAGGGTCATTAGCAAGCCTATTTCCTCAGCACTCCCACCCCACACCTACCCGCCATGGGCGTTCTTATTGTGTTCTTGCCGGTGCACGATGTGTTCCAGTTCTCCAGTTTCACCAAAAGTGCTGCCGCGTTAGTTCACAGCCGGATAGTACGCATTGGAATTCCCTTCATCCATAGTAATTATTCGTTTAATTGCCGTGAGGAGCAGGACTAGTTGTAGTGACTAGCGTGCACTTTCAGTCGCCTTGCCACACGAGACTTCAACAACAATGGAAGAACCGCAAACCCTAGTCAGAGTCAAACAGGAATGGCAGCAGGAACAAAGCACTTCCAACAGCGAGGCGTTGGAGCAAGCTGGTGACACGACGCGGGATTCCGGCCGCCATGAATTCAACAAATTCGAGAATCAATCTTGGACGTCCCCGTCTGGCCCTTTCGACTCGACCGTCCAATCCGAAGCGAGCCCGAACGTTGACTATGAGTTCATGAATAACCATCATGGTGGCGATGTAAGCTACCCCGATAACAGCGGTGACATGGCGTTCGACTGTGAAGCTTCGACGACGGCAGCGACAACACCGACGACTCCGACGATTGGTGGTGAACCCGCGATGCGGCATGGCTCACTGGGTATCATGGCATGCGGTGCCGTCGACCACGATCCCGCTGACCAAAATCCCGCTGACCATGCAGTAGACCGTCCCGTTGACCATGCTTCTTCAGCTAATATTCGTTCCTCGACGATCGACTGCGTTCCGACGCCGATGCATTTTCGCCTGCAAGAAACCCCCATTAAGCGACAATTACCCGATCTGGACGCGGATGTCCTTCTGTCTATAGCGCGTATGACGGGTCACCCTCTCCGAGCCATCGCCGTCCTCGCCGCCTGCTGCACGCGGCTCCGCCGTCTCGCCGAGACCGACCTCTGGCCCCTCTATTGTCACACCCGCGCGCAAGATCTCGTCCGAGATATTAACGCGCAGCAGGAGGAGGCGAAACGGCGGCGAAACGGCGGCGGGGACAGCGGCGAGTCGACTCGCCCGATGAGCCTTTCCAACCGAAAACTCCTCGGGTTACCAGCCGCCGCTCTTTCGCCGAAGCTTCTCAGCTACTCGCCCGGTATTCTCGAGGTGCCGTTCAGCCTGCTGAACCCGCGAATTAAGGATCTCCTGGAAAAAGTCGGCCAATGGTGGTCCGACGGATACTTTGACGGAGACGACGCGAGCCGCTGTTCCGAGATTTTCATGCATGATCACCGGAGAAGGAGCGCGTGGCGCATGTGTAAGCGCGCCGCGTCGCGCGTTGCGTGGGTGCCTGTGATCGCCGTGCTCGTGCCGATCGTCGTGGGGTATTTCGCATGCGTCTTCGTGAAGCGGACAGCGCGGACCGCGCGACGTGTGGCTGTAAGGGGAGGGAGGAGGCTGGCGAGGAGGGTTTGGGAGACGACGATGGGGAGGGTGGGAGGGAGGACGATCTTGAGAATTGGAGAGAGAGTGGGGTGGTGGAGGGAGGATGAGGCGGGGGAAGGAGGGCAAGGGATTGACATTGAGGCAAATTTGAGCGGCCCGGGAGACGCGGATTGGGATGGGAATGTGCGAGGAAACGGGAATGCCGCAGATGATTTTGTGGAGCGTTATGGGCGCATGTGGGATGAGATTGACGGTGGTGATGTGGATGATGTTGGTGGTGATGGTGATGGTGATTCTAATCATGCGGTTGTCGGTGTTCCTGACGAGGAAGCTGATGATGCTGCTGATGCTGCTGTGGATGGTGCGGCTGGTGCTGCTGGTGCTGGTCTTGAAGGTGATGGCGATGCTGCAGAGCGAGGCGCTCAGGAATGGTGGGAAGTGGGCGGAGGGAGAGCCGCAGCAGACGAGGGAACAACAGCGGAAGAGAGAGAAGCATTTTTGGTAGCCATGGCGTCGCGCGTGGGGAACAAGAAGAGTCTGGGTCTTATGGGGCATGTGGACGAGATGTGCCTTCTCTCCCCCTACCTCCTCGCGGATCTCTTCCCCCCCTCGCTGCTCTCCACCTCCTCCGCTGCTTCCTCGTGCTCCTCCTTCCCGCGCTGCACTAGCTCGAGACGCCGTGAGGGGCATCAGCAGCAGGAGCAGCAGGAGACTCATGAGACGCAGGAGCAGCAGGAGCAGCAGGAGCAGGAGAAGGAGATCCAGGAGGAGGAGGAGGAGGAGGAGGAGGAGGAGGAGGAGGAGGAGGAGGAGGAGGAGGAGGAGGAGGAGGAGGAGGAGGAGGAGGAGGAGGGGTCGAGTGAGGGGGAGGGGGAGGAGGGAGAGGGGGAGGCAGGGGCGTCGTTTGCTGTGATGGAGCCATCGTTGAACATGTGGGACATCTCTGTCTGCCGAGGCTTCATCGATGCGTTCCAGCGCACCGAGTATGTTGAGCATGTTCAGTTCTTGAGAGTTGCTCTGCTCACCAAGGCCGGTGCCTCTTGGCCTCGTTGCCTTCCCCCTGTCATGCGCGGCTGTTTCGAACCGGCTTTCTCCATCATTCCTTTTCAGAATCTTTGACACGCCTTTTTTGGGTTGCGTAGCAACCTTATACATTCGTTTTCACTTTTCGGTTGACTGACGTGAACAGTGATTTTTCTCCAAAAATATGGATGAAATCACTGTTCACGCAAGTTACCCGAAAAATGGAAACAAATGTGTCCAATCATTCCATAATCGTCGATAAGTACGGCGAATGGAATAATTGGACAATGATTTACGCATCGATGACCAAACGTGCACTCACAAACGCAAAGTATCGCACTCTACTTCACACCCTCAAACACACACAAAACCACATGCACAAAACCAACATAACAATCGTGCATGCTTCATGGTGAATGTTAAAATGCATCTACGGTGCAACAGCGATTGATCTGGTACGGAAGGGGCAAGCAAAGCTACCCCACCGACAATCACAACCACAATTGCATACATAAAGCAATTCAACACCACGTCCTGAAACGAACACGAATGTCCACATGCAAACAAACAATGAAAATACAGAGACATGAATGCCTCGAAGTGAATGTTATGAATCGGTGTTGCAGCAAAAATTGATCCGGTACGGAAGAGGCGAGCAAAGCTGCCCCACCGACGATCACAACCTCAGCTGCAAGCACGAGTCACTTAGCACCACACCTCGAAACAGACAGTACATCAACTGACCAAAAAAAAAATGTGGTTCACACACACAAGATTACACATATACGGTACACACACACGTAACACACAAACACAAAGACATTCACATCACATCACACACAGAAGGAAACAGATAAACACGCAAACATAGCAAGAAGCAATTGAGTTCAGCTATGTATCATTAATTGCTATACATGTCCCTGCTCCCTACTTCCTCCGTCCCTCCTCTATCATCTCCTCTGCCCCCTTCTTGCAAACTACCCTCCTTATCCTCCCCTCTTTTCCTTTCCTTTTCTCTCCCAAAAAAAACCCTCCCTTTCCTTCAGCAAGAATGCTTCTCATACGCCCTGCACAAGAAAGCAAAAACAGAAAACACAATTCACACCCTGCACAAGAAAGAAAGAAAGAAAAAAAGATGAAACAAAAAACAGAAAGTACAACACACACTTTGCAGAAAAAGGCGAAACAGAGAATGCAACTCACATACTTTTGCAGAAGAACGCGAAACAGACAATGCAATTCCACTACGCTGTACAAGAAGCAATAACAGAGAAAACACCTTACACACCCTGCACAATTTCCACAGCCTGCACAAGAAGAAAAAGCAGCCTAGTGCGCTAGGCAACAGCGTGTTAGGCGCCAGCGAGCTAGGCGCCAGCGCGCTAGGTGCCAGCGCGTTAGGGGCCAGCGCGTTAGGCGCCAGAGCCTTAGGCGCTCGCGCCAAAAGGCGCCAGCGCCAGCGTCAAAAGGCGCGAGCCGCCAGCGCCAAAAGGCGCCAGCGCCAGCGCCCAAAGGCGCGAGCACCAGCGCCAAAAGGCGCCAGCGCCAGCGCCCAAAGGCGCCACCGCAAACGGCGCCGGCGGCCAACGGCGCCCTCGCCTTACACGCCAATGACGCCTAAGGCGCGAGCGCCAAGGCCAACGCGCTTGGCGCGTAGGCGTCATAAGCGCTAAGGCATGAGCGCCCTAGGGCGAGTGCTCTATGCTATATTGCCTAATGCACGAGAGTCAATGGCAAGCCCTCTAGGCGCGCGCGGCTTAGGCACTAACAAGGTAAAGTACGGTAGTACCTGAGAAGGTGGTTGGAGTTCTTGAACGGCTTCAAAAAAGTTGGAACGGTCGTGAGAGCATTTTGGTTGAGAGGAGCAGTTGGTTGGGGGGGGAGAACGAAACCCTTGCCAAGGATGGGACTGTTCACCTAACCCCAAGTCAGCAAAACATCTCCTTTAGTGATAGTTGGTTTCTAAGTTATATAAGTTCCAATCTGTTGCTAGTGGTTTGATTGTTTATAATAGATCATGGAAATATGTGTCATTCATATTTTGTTATCCAAATGTTAGTCATTACTGATAATCTTCAGCGTGCCATTTCTTTGCAACTCTCATAGCCACACAACAAATCATACTGCATATTGTCAATTGGAATGAAATGATTTGTTCAAATTCGGCTACGATTCTTCCATTATGTCGCATTATTGGCGTATGATGGTTAAACAATGTCCATCTATTACAGATCGAAATATTTCATTTCACTATTGTTATGTTAATTGTTTTATCGGCGAGTTACTACTGAAATACTCTTCAGATTCAGTATACGTGAGGGACGTTATAGAGAATTGCTACCGTAACAGTCTACGCAACCCTTCCGGGGTTTAAACGTCGAGTCTTGTCACTTCCTTCCTCCCATTCCTCTCCCCCCTTCCCCCCGTACCCTCTTCCCTCAATGCACAACTGTGTTCCACCGCCCATCTCCCTGTCGTCCCCCAAATCCATCAGGCTGTATCGACAGCTGGCAGCTCGCTCTGCTGCTGCCGATGACCATGGCAAATGTCCCTTCTGCTGCTGCAAGGTAATGCTGCTCCCTTCGGAATCAGTCATTGCTGCCGCAAGCTACGCGATGCACCACTGTTTCTCGAGTAAATCGGGCTAGATTCTATGGTGAGGCGGACCCTAGCGCAGAAGGGATGGTGCATTGCGTGCTTGCAAAGCGCTTGCTGCTAGGTAGCATGCCCATGCATCAGGTTGGGTGGGATCACACTGTGCTAACAGGGTGTGGAAAACTTAGGCAATGAGAGGCAGTATTTAACTGTTCCTTCACGCGCCCATGGCATAACTTGTTGGGTGTGCAGGTTTGGAACGCATTGGACACGCTTGCAGACATGGGCCGCATGCGGGCTTTTAGCTTTGCGATATGTGAACATGTGAGTGGGCGATGCGAATGGTTCACGGTGTTTTAAAGTTGCTAACTTTAGAGTAGTGAATTGCAGTGTGCGTGCCTGCTACGTAGACCCATTCCTAGTTTTTTTTTTTCCGTTTTTACTTATCTCACACACACTCACTCACTCGTATACGCACACGCACATCCGCGCATGCTTGCATTTGCGTCCCACCCTCATTCAAACACGGCTGCCTGTCTCCCCTTTGCGCTTGTCGTACTCTTGTAGGGCCACTTCTGCGGATTATTTAAAGTGAGTACTACAGGGCCACTGTTGCAAACATTTCACTTGCACGATTCTTTTGTACCTTACGTTTACCTTTTTATTGTTGTCTTCCAAGTCAACTCCTGTTGTTTGCTGCTCTTCTAACAAGTTTTCCCTCCCCCACGTACACCATATACTCATACTCCTCTCACCATTCTGCTCTTTTTGCTTGCAGGAGAGAACGTAAAATAACAAGAAAGAACTGGAAAATAAGGCAAAACAGCATGATGAGATGGAGAAACGATACCATGTAGGGCAGAAAATATGATAATGGTTTTTACTGGAAGCAGTATGAGCGTGTTTCTGCAGCTGCCTTGCTCCTCTTGCTCGAATCTCTACTTCAGCTAGGTCTAACACTTACTAACTAGACATACTTACTGGTTTGCTGAGGTTTGGGTAGAGACAAGCAGGGCTAAATTTTGGATTTTACTACCCTTACTATGATCAGTGTGGTACAAGGTCCAAAACCTGATAATCAGTGTGACCCCTTCTGAAAACCCTGTTACTTATGTCGGTTTTCAAAAATTTACCCTATCGCATCAATGTTCTTACGTAAAAGACAAACCCTGGAGAAACTGTAAGTCTGGCCTATGGTGGCCTATGGCGGCCCACTTAGAGCCAGCACATGCATTGCCAAGGCCGAAATTACGGTTTCGCCAGTTGGCAATCGGGATTCGGGAATCCCGGGTTACTAGAAAATGGGGGTGGGGGAACCGGGTGTCAGAATCTCTAGGCAGGAATGAATGCACTGTGGAAGAGTTGGGTACAAGTATGAAACCCTAAACGGGGCTGTACCCCATATTGGCTACCCCACTACAGCCTAACAAAATATATCACACATATACTTTGACACACCCCCATAGGCAAAGTGGGGGAGACCAAGGGGTCACAAGACCAGTCAAGAGAAGCAAAGCAAGCTCAGGGTGGATCACAACGTCACCACACACACTGAGCACAAGCAATGGGCCACAAGGCCAGTTCACATGCAGAGGTATACATACAACAACAACAGCACAGTGATCTCTACTTAGCAGAGCAAGCATGCAGATATATATATAGATCACAGTACAAGCAAAGTCTACAGCAAGTGAGGAAACGTGGGCACAAGGCCTAACAAAGTGCAGAAACGCTGATGATCACCAGACAGGAGTGCCCTGGTGAATATATCAGCAGTGTTGGCCCGAGTGGCCACGTGAGCAAGACGAAGCTGACCACGCTGCTGCAACTCTCGAGCCAAGAAGTAACGCAGAGCGATGTGCTTCGTTCTGTGCTCCCGTCTGTGTTCCTGACACAAGGCAATGGCGGCCTTGTTGTCGACGTACAGCACTGGAGGAGAATGAGGCCGCTCTCCCAAGTCGGTCAGCAGGTAGGTGAGCCAGCGTAACTCCTGTGCAGCCATGGCTGTGGCGTAGATCTCAGCCTCACAACTTGAGCTGAGAACCGAAGACGAGCGTGTAGAACGCCAAGAAACTGAACCAGAGCCAAGGCCGAAGGTGTAACCCTGTGACGACCGCTGCATAGCCTGCTCGTCAACCCAAGAAGTGTCTGAGTGCCCAATGAGGACAATGTCGCCCCGTCCTCCAAGCACGAGCCCCATGCCCGACGTACTGCACAAGTAGCGTAGTACCCTCTTAGCAGCATCCATGTGCACCTTTCGGTGCCGACCAGGAGACACGTAGTGAGCCAGAAGGCCAAGAGGGTACGCAAGGTCAGGACGAGTGCAAGTCATCAGGTACATGAGGCACCCCACTAGCTCTGGGTAAGGACCACTTGTCAAACTTATATGATCTAGCCTGTGTAGGCTGTAGCGGGTTAGATACTAAGGGGTACACAATTCTAGGGTTTCATATTCGTATCACTTTCATTCCTTAGTTCATTCATTCTCGTTCTAAGTTTCT